ATCCGCCGTCACCTTGGGGTCCTTGTCGAACTCGGTCACTGCGACCATGCGCATCGCGGCAGAGAACAAGTTGAACAGCAGCGGGGCCAGGTTGCACCCCTGTCGGAGACCTTGGCCGACGTCAAACCATTCCGAGTACTGCCCGTCGTCCGTTCGAACCCGCGCCCTCATGCCCTCGTGGAAGTGGCGAATGACCGCCAGCATCTTCGGGGGCACGCCAAAGCGTCCGAGCACGTCCCACAGCAGATCTCGGTCCACCGAATCGTACGCCTTGGTGAGATCGACGAAGCACGCGAAGACCGCAGTACTCTTCTTCCTCGCGAGCTCATGGAGCCGCTGGATCGCGAACAGCATGTCGAGCGTCGACCGGTGTGGGCGGAAACCGCTCTGCTCCTCCGGGAGGATGCCCTCTCGCTCGCAGTAGTGGCTTAGGCTGCTGGTGTGTGGAAGGGTTAACTTCATACCCCGCAGAATGAAGGGACGACGTCAGAACGTGGTCGGTCGGAGGCAGCAAACGGAAGCTGCGCTCGGGAGCCGGGGCACGGTGTCGTAAAAGACTGCGTACGTTCTGTAGGACGGTGCCTAACAGGTTGAGGCCGCGCCATCTAGATGTGCATCCAGCGTCAGGATGATCGGCCTGGAGGCCAATGCCCCAACCACGGTCGTAAGGACTGGCTTCGGCAAGGATTTTGTCACCAGATCCGAGGAGATGATTTCGTAACTCGGAATTTTGACTAAATTTTGCGTAAGAGCCGGTGAGCACAATGTTTTCGCGTTCTTGTTCCCAAACAAATTGGTCGAAACCACGGACCTCACGGCCAAACTTTTTGTGTAAGGCCGGGTCTGACACTCGCACGATGTTCGGCAAAGCACAGCGACTTCAGAAAAGACGGGCTTTTTCTGCAGCGAAAAATTGTTCGGCACACGAGTAAANCAAATTGGTCGAAACCACGGACCTCACGGCCAAACTTTTTGTGTAAGGCCGGGTCTGACACTCGCACGATGTTCGGCAAAGCACAGCGACTTCAGAAAAGACGGGCTTTTTCTGCAGCGAAAAATTGTTCGGCACACGAGTAAACAACGCCATCGACCGTGAAGGTCGACGGTGTCCATTGGGAAAAAGGCGAGGGCGGCTTCCAAAAGAAAACCATGTCTGGAGTACAATACTCGGTAGACGGGTCGAAAACGGCCGAAGAAACAGAGGCCGGAGCGCCCTGAGTGCTGTTAGTCGAAGCTGGAGTCGCAGCCGAAGATGCGGAGTCATGATGGACAGCATGCACATCCATGGGGGCGGTCCTTGTAACAGCGGGAACCGACGAAGAATCGACTTGAGTCGGATTGTTCGTAATTGGGCCAGCAACACTGGGCTGGGTGCACCCCAATTCTAAACCTGAAGAAACGCCTCGTAAGGTGTTCGGCAACAGGTCGCTTTCGCTGGGGACGGCTGCCAAAGCCGGGTTAGTTGAAGAACTGAACCGAGCATGGCGCTCCTAGCTATTCCCCCGTGACGAGGTACGCGAGACCGCCGGCNCGTTCGGCAACAGGTCGCTTTCGCTGGGAACGGCTGCCAAAGCCAGGTTAGTTGAAGACCTGAACCGAGCATGGCGCTCCTGGCTATTCCCCCGTGATAAGGTACGCGAGACCGCCGGCTGTTCGGAGGTCACTTCGGGGGTGTCCTCCCGAAGCGGTGGTGTCAACACTGTCGACGTCGGTCGCAGCAGCCTAGAAGTGGGTGCCGTTGTGCGAGCGTGCGTCGGAGAAGGTGGGGCTTGTAAAGCCGACCCACGGTCGAAATGTCGCGTGGCGGAATCTGAGGATGTCCGGTGGTCGGAACCAGGGGGACAAGGCGATTCGAAGCCAGACGAATTTGACCCTAAAACTTGCCGGTCGGAACCAGTCAAGTTAGCTATCGGTGCAACAGTCGAAGGCGGACCTTCAACGGAAGCGAGCATAGACGAATTGAGCGTATCCGAAGAAGCACCTGAGGCAATCAATTCGGGCAATTCTTCATCAATCGTCCAAAGGTCATGGCTACTGCCGATCCTATCTGCAGACTACGGGGGGAGCGAACGAGAGGTGCTCGACGAACGAGTACAACTCTTGGCCCCGAAGGTCCAACGGGTCTGTTCCTACACCTCAAGACAGCACTCACGTCCGACTGATTAGTTTCCGACGAAGCAGCAATCCGACGAGGCGAGGGTGCAGAGGTTGCAGACGATAAGTGCGATGGCGAAGGTGGGATGTGAGCATTTGGCTGAAGACCGACCTGATCGACACTTGAAGAAACAGTGTGTACCTGAGTACCGCTGTCATTGGATAGCATCGAAGTGCGAGAGCGCGTAGGGAGAACATTTACCGAAGTATTGTTGTCATTGCTTAAGACCGAAGTGCTAGAGGCAACAGAAAGCGTAGGGAAAACATGTACCGAAGTATTGCTGTCGTTGCCTAAGACCGGAGTGCTAGAAGCAACAGAGCGCGTAGTGAGAACATGTACCGAAGTATTGTCGTTGCTTAAGACCGGAGTGCTAGAGGCAACTGAAGGTGATACACGCGCGTCTTGTTTTGAGCGAGACGAAGTTCCCAAAGATGCTGGAGGTGGTCCGAGGGAAGGAGGCGAACCACCGTCGGGGAGTCATCCGGTACGTGTACGGCCGCCATTGTGGAAGTTACCAGGCTGGCGTGCGTTGTGATTGGTCGAAACCATGACGCCGGACGAGGGACCAGTTTGAGCATTAGATTGGGGTTGATAGACGGACAGAGCACTAGGGTGGTGGGTGTTGCCAGACGTCTGTTGTGTATGATGATGGTTACCCGNGTCGGGGAGTCATCCGGTACGTGTACGGCCGCCATTGTGGAAGTTACCAGGCTGGCGTGCGTTGTGATTGGTCGAAACCATGACGCCGGACGAGGGACCAGTTTGAGCATTAGATTGGGGTTGATAGACGGACAGAGCACTAGGGTGGTGGGTGTTGCCAGACGTCTGTTGTGTATGATGATGGTTACCCGCGGAATGTCCCGCGGTTTGACCACCGTGGTGTGATTGTTGGTGGTGATTGTGAGAGGAACTACCACCGTCGGAACGACGAGGCCCAGCGTGGTTTCTACGCTGAGAGGAGGAGGAAGCAGACTGCAGTGGCCTAAACACCCGGCTACAAAAGCGGAGACAGACTCGGAAATTGCTTGTCGACCGAGTTTCGCACTATTTCGAGAACCATGGATACACTAGGGGCCAAAGTACGTTCAGAGTCAGTCACAGACGAAACTAACAAACGGAAAGCCCGAAGATAGTCCGCGAAAGGAGTACCATCTGCTACGCCAAATTGTTGCAGCCGCAAAACCGACTCTTGGCGGTCCCCGACGTCAAATTGCTCCGCCAGGTGACGCAACAATAGCTGGAAAGCGTCTGGTCCAGGGGCTCCTCCATCCAAGCTCCGTTTCACTTGCTGAAAAAAATCAGTAACGGCAAGGACGAGATCGGCGGTAGAGCGCTTGTCGGGGGTGATCGCACTCAAAAGTATTTTTCTGAGAGGACGTTCCCATCCACGCACAAAATCGGCGCCTGTCAAACCTTCACTCTGCTCATCACACAACAGCAAAATATCGGACAAAGCCGTTCTCGTTGTGCGAATAAGCTGCTGATAGCCATTTCCCGGCAACAGAGTAGCGGGGAAGGGCATGGTAGAGACATTCTCAACTTTTTTCAAGTTGAGGGTGATGTACGCTCGTTGAACGGTAGCTACATGAGCATTACGAGCAGCTGCATCAGTCGCATCGATCGATGCTTGACGAGTGTGTGCTGTGTTAGAAGAAAGTGGCAAAGCACGATCGTCGGAGACAGCGGGGGGTGCGGCGACGGCTACCGAAGCAGCTGTAGGGGCATGGTCTGAAGACAACATGCTACGCAAAACACCCGGCACTGTTGGATCAAACGTCGAAGGGGGGTTGAGGTTCGAAAACTCAGAGTTCTGCATCATTCGTGGATCTACGGCATGGCGAGCGGTAGAAAGGCTACNGCGCTTGTCGGGGGTGATCGCACTCAAAAGTATTTTTCTGAGAGGACGTTCCCATCCACGCACAAAATCGGCGCCTGTCAAACCTTCACTCTGCTCATCACACAACAGCAAAATATCGGACAAAGCCGTTCTCGTTGTGCGAATAAGCTGCTGATAGCCATTTCCCGGCAACAGAGTAGCGGGGAAGGGCATGGTAGAGACATTCTCAACTTTTTTCAAGTTGAGGGTGATGTACGCTCGTTGAACGGTAGCTACATGAGCATTACGAGCAGCTGCATCAGTCGCATCGATCGATGCTTGACGAGTGTGTGCTGTGTTAGAAGAAAGTGGCAAAGCACGATCGTCGGAGACAGCGGGGGGTGCGGCGACGGCTACCGAAGCAGCTGTAGGGGCATGGTCTGAAGACAACATGCTACGCAAAACACCCGGCACTGTTGGATCAAACGTCGAAGGGGGGTTGAGGTTCGAAAACTCAGAGTTCTGCATCATTCGTGGATCTACGGCATGGCGAGCGGTAGAAAGGCTACGGGGTGCAGAGGTTTCCAAAGAAAAAGGGGTGGTCGAAACCGGGGGTGAGTTCGAAAACTCAACGCTACTTACATGTCCGGAGTCTACAGCATTGAATGCGGCAGAACGGACAGAAGTTCCGAAGAAACAGGGGCGGTCGAAACCGGAGCTGAGTTCGAAAACTCAACGCGACGTACATGTCCGGAGTCTACAGCATTGAATGCGGCAGAACGGACAGAAGTTCCGAAGAAACAGGGGCGGTCGAAACCGGAGCTGAGTTCGAAAACTCAACGCGACGTACATGTCCGGAGTCTACAGCATTGAATGCGGCAGAACGGACAGAAGGTGCAAATGATTCCGAAGAAACAGGGAAACCTAAAGGCGGGTGAAGGTCCGAAAACGCAACACGACGCAAACGCTCTGAGTCCGAGGAAAGAGGGGGGGCCGAAACCGTACCAACGACCGAAGTCGAGGGGGGGGCCGAAGCCTGTGAAAAAACATCATCATGTAAAAGAAAACGATCACTCAAAGTCGCATCCATAAGGGCCGGGACAACTTGCCTGGAAGAAGGACCCTTCCGAGCGCCGTGCTTCCGGATGAGACTCCGGTCTGAACCAGAGCCCGATCCACCTCCCTTGCCACGAGTCCCGCTTGTTTGGCGCTTGGCCTGCTGCCGTGCCCGGTCATCGCCCGCCAATGAGGATGGCTCCGGGGGGCGGCGAGACACTCCCGCGGAACTCCAGCCCGAGTCCTCGCCCGAGCTACTCTCTCGCAAGATGGGCTGGAGCGGCTTGGCCTTGACGCGGCCGGCCTTGGGTTGCTGGAACGCCGACGATGCCGGAAGCGCCACGGCGCAGGGGGGCCACACCACCGGAGACGATGCGTTCATGGTGGCCGCCCGCATCGCCACGAGGAGGCACCTCACCACATCGTGGAGGTCGGGCCGAGACCCGTTGGCTGCATCAGCGGCGTCCTGTATGGAGGCAGCCAACGGCAGGGCGGTGGACACGCCAGCCGCCAATTTCATGAGCCTTGCGATCCTCGACCTGGTAGTTGACCTAGGCGTATTTTGCAACGTCCGACAACCTGGCTTGGGCAAACCTGGCGTCCCCGGCCTCGAAGGTGACGGAGCGCGACCGTGATGAAGACCGAGTCACAGGGCTGGAGGCGGCAGCGGCGTACGTCCGAGCCTCTGGCGCCGACGGGGCAGAAGCAGCAGCAGGGGCAGCGCGGATGTCCCGGCACGGAGCGCCCCGCCCGGACCCGAAGATCGTGCTCGCGCTGTTGGTCAGCGCGAGCCTGTTCAGCGACCAAGGCATCCTCGTGGCGGCGATCCTCGACAAGCTGGGCTGCCAGCAGGGCCGTCTCTCGTTCTTGCGCTTGCTTACGCTGGGCGTCCTCGAGGATGGCGTCGGCGTTGGTGGCCCGGCGCGCACGGTACATTGCGATTTGTGCGTGTCGTGCCGTGGTCGCCTTGGTGAACTCGGCTTGCAAGTTGTGGTCCCGAAGAACCGCTTCGCGGTCGAGGTCGACCGCCTCGCCCGCTTCCTGGCGAACCCGGGGGGACAGGGCCAACAGCCGCTGGTCGTCGGTCATGCAGTCCCACAGGGTTGATTGAACAAACCCAACGAGGGCGCTGCGGGGGTGCCGACGAGGTTGGGGGTGCCGCCGAAGCTGCGGGTGCCGCCGAAGCGGCGGGGGCTGCCGAAACNCGGTCGAGGTCGACCGCCTCGCCCGCTTCCTGGCGAACCCGGGGGGACAGGGCCAACAGCCGCTGGTCGTCGGTCATGCGGTCCCATAGGGTTGAACAAACCCAACGAGGGCGCTGCGGGGGTGCCAACGAGGTCGGGGGTGCCGCCGAAGCGGCGGGGGCTGCCGAAAGAGCTCGGGCTGCCGAAACAGCCGAGGCCGCCGAAACAGCGGGGGCCGCCGAAGCGCCGGGGGCTGCCGAAGCAGGGGGGGCTGCCGAAGCAGCGGGGGCCGCCGAAGCAGCGGGGGCCACCGAAGCAGCTCGGGCCGTCGAAGCCGTGGGAAGCGGGACCAGGGGGACCGGCGACGCCTGGCGGGGGATAGTCGAAGACCTCTCGCCGGCGCCCGCGGTCGTTGCCCGGATCGAAGAGGCGGAGACGGCTCCACCAGCGAGGGAGGCCGCCTCAGGGTTGGCCACAAGCTGGGTGGCGACCATGGTAGATTGACGGGGAAGATCGCGGAGACGACGGTGGTCGTTTTCTGCGATTTTAAGAAGGGGTACGGCAGGGGAAGTGGCGGCATGTTCGTGTGAGGGAAAGAGCATGGGGGGGGGTGAAGGCACCGCATTATGAAATATAACAGGTGCATCGGCAGAGGGTTCTGCAGGAGTAACCGAAGTTACTGCTAGAGGAGCCGAGGCTGCAACTAGCGTATGAACAGCAGTAGACACAGCAGACATAGAGTCGGCTGTGGGTACACGTGCAGCAGTGAGGGACGGAGTCCGAGACGAAACTACTGGCACGGTAACTGCTGGGTTCATGATGGTCGAAAGTGTACGCCGGNGACGACGGTGGTCGTTTTCTGCGATTTTAAGAAGGGGTACGGCAGGGGAAGTGGCGGCATGTTCGTGTGAGGGAAAGAGCATGGGGGGGGGGGAAGGCACCGCATTATGNCATGGGGGGGGGTGAAGGCACCGCATTATGAAATATAACAGGTGCATCGGCAGAGGGTTCTGCAGGAGTAACCGAAGTTACTGCTAGAGGAGCCGAGGCTGCAACTAGCGTATGAACAGCAGTAGACACAGCAGACATAGAGTCGGCTGTGGGTACACGTGCAGCAGTGAGGGACGGAGTCCGAGACGAAACTACTGGCACGGTAACTGCTGGGTTCATGATGGTCGAAAGTGTACGCCGGACGCCCATAGAGCGAACGCCTGGAGTGGCCATCATTGGGGGCAAAGGCGGAGCTACAGGGATAGATGCAGCAGAGGCAGTCGAAACTGCAGGCATCGACGGGGCTACTGAAGCCAATGCATTTGAAACAGTTGAAACTGGGGCTGGCAGCGGGGAAGCTACGGGGAAAAAGGTAGCGGAAGCGGGAGATGCTTCAGACCGAGGGAAAGCTACTGCAGCAGATGGCGGGGCAGCAACCGAACTTGCAGTTGAAGTAGTCGAAACTATAGAAATAGGTGCATCACAATCAAGGGAAGCAGCCACGGCAGTCGAAACTACAGGAGCAGATGCAACGGGTGCGGTCGAAACCACTGAGACGGTTGCATTGGAAGCGGTCGGAACCGCAAAGGCAGTCGAACCACCGGAACAGATGCACGTGGGGCAGGAAAATCCAAAGGCATAGATGCCACTGAAACGGATGCACGACGGTCAAAAAGCCGTTGGGCACGAGCGGCGGCTTGTGTGCGACTGCTACGCGACGAAAATGGAGGAATGGTCGGCACAGTGTAATCGAAATGCAGTGTGCTGCCAACAACAGAGCCATGAGGCAAGCGTGGCACTATGAGCCAGTATTGTCAAAGCCAATGTTTGCCCGAACAGCAGAAGGCTCAGCGGCGGTGAACGTGAGGGGAAAAGTGGAATCAGCAACATGTGGTTCCGGCGGGAAAACTTGGGACACACCACCAGCGGCTGTAAAAACAGAAGGCTGGGTACTCGAAAGGACAGAGGTGAAAGCCAAAACTTCTGCTGTGGGTGCTGGCAATTTGAGTACAGCACCCACGGGATTAGCGTCAGTAGAAGTCGTGGAGGCGAACTCCTCCCGTCGGCGTTGAGCGCGAAGCTCTGACAAACGGGTGGCTTCTACGATGGGGTCAGCAGCACTCGCGCCATCCGAAGACGGCAACAAAGGCGATTGGGAATCGTCGGCTGTCGGCCCGAAAGCCGAAGCACTGTGTGGAGNAGGTGAAAGCCAAAACTTCTGCTGTGGGTGCTGGCAATTTGAGTACAGCACCCACGGGATTAGCGTCAGTAGAAGTCGTGGAGGCGAACTCCTCCCGTCGGCGTTGAGCGCGAAGCTCTGACAAACGGGTGGCTTCTACGATGGGGTCAGCAGCACTCGCGCCATCCGAAGACGGCAACAAAGGCGATTGGGAATCGTCGGCTGTCGGCCCGAAAGCCGAAGCACTGTGTGGAGACACCAGCGAGCGAGAACACTCTGAGGGCTCTGGACTGGCCGAAGCCGAGTCCGAGAAACCGACGCTAAGTTGAGACATACCGATCAGCGAGGCAAAGCTACGTTGTGTGAAGACGAAGTCCTGCCGACGACGCCAAGTGTAAAGGATATTCACGCGCGGTGCAATCTGGGAGACCCGTGAGGACGAACTCACTTGTTATTAACTCGTGTGGAACAGCAGTAGCTGTTGCCAAGGGAAGGTACAGGACTGACTAGGATGGGGCCAGGATCAGCTGCTAAAGCAGGGGCTACTAGATCCTGTCCCTTGTTTTGTCCTTCCGTGGGGAGTTGCATCTCCCGCACTTTTCTCTGGGCATTAGCCCGCACTACCGTTTGTACTTTCCTACACATTCAAATCCCATAACATACTCCAACATATCATGTCGCGAGAAAACATCAAAGCAAGCATGCCAGAGGTACTTCAAGTAGTAGTCCAAGTTAGAGTACCGTGGCCACACCCTTGTGCGGTACCATATCTCTAGCCTGCGGCTCTTGCATTACAATAGGGGAGCCAACGCCGCCTTGTATGAAGGTCTTACGGTCTTTAAAAATGGACTGGTACCTGCACAACTACTGTAACAGCTCTTCAGCCACTTCCGGTAACCCGGCATTGCCCAGCCTTCAAACTGTAACGGTATCCCGTGTTCTCAAAGGGATGGTCTTCGTCGGAACGGCGAAGAACGTACCCATATCGTAGCCATAGTAGCGTAGCCGAAGTCTGAACTCAAGACCACGCCCCGGGAATGTGCTACATACTCCCCGTGACGCTATCGCTGAATGGAAGAAACAAATTTTCGGTGTGTTCAGAGGGACCGTCTCGTCCTTCGTGTTTTATCCGTTTCCGCTGAAAACAGCGCCCCAACCGGTGTACCATTGAAGGGGCGTTTACTCAGTTGGTTGACTACGGTATGCAGAACATCCCCCGCCACGTCTGTCCGGAAGATGACGCATATATTGAGGGTCTTCGCAAGGGTGATCCCTATCTGATGCTGACACATGTCGCAATACGCGTGTAAAATGTGTGCAGGACATCGCCCCCGCCACCCAAGTGCCCCCGTGTGATTCCTCAGTCGCTTCCTCGTCAACCTGGGCGAGTACGCATAAAAAAAGTGGGGAGAAGAATGAAACGTGGGCACGTGTGCCCTCCGATGGACCTGTTGCACCCCAGCATTATGCTTGGCCTTCTTGCGGAGGTAAGGGCAACCAAGAATATGAGTGCTACACTCCAACGGTCGTGTAGTACATGTAGTTGAAGCATCTAGAGCATGTCACATTCGAACCTGCTCTTGTTCGCTAGCGCTGATGACTCATGGCGGCCTGATTTTGTATCCCTTAATCTTTGGTCTGTTTCTGTCTCTCTAGTGGGTGAACCAAGATCGGGTCTTGCAATAGCACATGATCCAAGCGGCTGGTGGGCAGGTATAAGTGTGATATGTCTACACTGGACAGGCTTCTTTTTCTCCCTTTTCCTGGTCGTGTTGAATAAGAAGCCGGGTGTTTGGTAGCCGGGTCTCAGGCCGAGAACACCTCCTTGAAGCAACGTAATGGTTGGCCTCCGCCAGTTGCTCTAGATCCAGTCGTGGCTGCTGTCGGTACTCCTAGCTGCTCTCTAAGCTTCTCTCCGGGCTGCTCTCTAAGCCGCTCACTTTTGCATTTGCCGCAATCCAATAGTCGCATCTGAAGCCTCCCTGGTTGCTCTTGACCAGTCTCCATGTACTCTGTACTCCGTGCCATGCCATCACCACCACCCCTGAGTTCTCTCCACGTATTCACCCCCCCTGGTCCCCTAGTTACGACAGGGATACGACCCCATTCTTTCTCATCTAGGAGTAGATGACACCACGTAGAGAGCGGTCTTCTTCCTACCTCGGATGATATCTCGATCATTCAGCTCTCTCCAGCTTCTTCCCGGTTTTAACGTATCCATCCATCATACGGTTCGCTGAAGTCGTACATTACCCGGTAGCGTCCTCGATATTCCCAGTTCTAAGCACTGTTTGCCTTCCGAACTACCCAGCGATCCACCAATCTGTGTATAAAGATACCGTTGCCACTGGCACGTCGGAGAGCCCTACATCAGGTCCCCATGGTACGTGCGCGTATTCGTCCTAGACCGATACAGGTGCGGGAGGAAAAAATTATGCATCTGATTCGTTCATAAAGTACGTCCAAATCTAATATATTTGTGGGGAAAACGATCTTCAGCGCCAAGCGACAAGGGTGGTTACGTGCTGCCAATCCGACTAATAGTTAGGTGCCACTGATGATAATGATTGGTTCGCGCACTCGTTTCTGGTGTTCCGGAGGAAGACCAAGTTCTGCCAGAGTCATGAACACCTTGCCATAAGGTCTCATCGTAGGCGCTGCCTTCCTTGAAAGGAAATGGCAGTGTCATTACTTTCGGTGTATTGTGATGGGTTCAACCCAACACCGGCTTCACCATGGGTTCCATTTCTGACGCACGGACAACAGGAAACGATCTCGTCGCGAAACAGGCCAACGGTTGAAAAGTTCTCAACCATGTGGCAAGGAAAATGTTTGAGTTCCCTGCCATGCCTAAATAAGACCGAGCAGAACGATGTTGTGGCGTTAAAACCCTGCGGCTTGTGCAGAATCATACCTTCAGAATTTCGCCATCTCTAACGGGTACCGGCTCCGGGAGATTCAACTTGGGGTGGTGACATATTACACAAACCCAACCTGAAAAGGAAAAAGAGAAGCTTGTACAGTGGCACGCGTATACCGATCCACCTGTCGTCCGGATCACGTGCCGTTGTGCTATTCGAGTTGGCCACCGACACAGACGAGTTGATCGATGTTATCAGTGACTATCGAGTGAGAGGGATAACCCCCGAAGTCAGGGCGGTCACATACCGGTCGCATTGGCATCGGTGTCGGTTGAGCAGCCTGCCGAGCAGAAGCAGGTACCGGTGGTACCCTCAAGTCGTCCATGTTGTGTCGTCCAGCGGTGTAAAGGGTGTCACCATCGTGGAGTCCCTCACAAACGCCACAAACGATGGATACCAATACGGTCTTCTTCATCGAGCCACGACAGCAACCTCGCCTCAGAACGCCTCCCCCCCGGCAAACAATCCAAACCAATCCTGGCGCTACAGGCACCGCTGCGGCTGGAACCATTGCAAGCAAACGACAGAGGGCACAAAGCACCATCGCTCGCTAGCGTGTGTCCTCCGCTAGCACCGCTCACTCACATCGAACTGCCGCGACCGGATAGCTTCGTTTCAACATCACCTGTGACACCGGTGGGCAGGAGAGACGGCGGAGACGGCGGCATGCCTAGACCCGTCAAAATAACAACAGCAACCGTGATTCCCCCGTTTTTTCTCCCAATGCCGTGTACAGAAATGGTTGCCAAGGCGGTCTGGACATGCGTAGGTGAGAGCAGCATCATTGGACTTTAACGGCATGAGGAATGTGTCAAGGACAGAGTTGGTTTACTCGTCGTTTGTCGTCGTCGTATGTACAGCTGCGGAACAAGTGTTTGAAACGCGGTGCATGGTAGCACCAAAACGATGGAGATACAGCAAGCGTACCACCGAGACGTATCTGACGGCAAAAGTGAAATCCGAACAAAACACACGCGTACCAATCACGTCCTTGAATTTTCCTGACTTCACCGGTTCGAAAAACAGATCCGATTCCAGTACCTGCGCCGTCGGGACAAATCGCAGTCCCTGTCATCTCTCGCCCTACGTCTCCGATGGAGCTGACGGAGGAGGCTATCACAGCACTCCCATGTGTAGAGGTGCCACCATTGTTCTCCAACATAGTGTAGTTTTTCATGTGTGAAGTGAAGTTTTGTGTGTTTCTTGAAGTATGGCCTGTGAGATGGCGCTCCCCTAAAATACATCTCTTTGCCGACGGGTCGGTTGTGGTACTTGCTCGTTGAAGTTTGCGAGAAAAAATTCAGCTCCATGAGTCCACGACAAGTCGACGTCAATAGCTGTTTACACGCGCGACGCTACGGATCCTCCAAAATCGCCTCGTTGCCACCGTGTTTGTGACTCACCCCGGAACTTCAGAGATGGCAGAATCTTCTAGCGGCTGTGAACGACCTCCCTCGCGTGTGCCCCCGAAGTAACGAGACCTCCGCGAGTAAACCAGTCAGAAGAGTCACCCCTCGCCCATTTCCTGGTGCACATAGCGAGATGGAAAGTGTGAGGAAGAATTGCGACAACCGCGAGGGGAAAGGTGTTTCCGGCGTTGTCGCCCTCTTCGGCAAAGGTCCTGCTCTCGGCTGCCTGAGAAGAGTACAGGTTCGAACAAATGTCACGAACGAATGCGAACATGGGCCGACAAGGCGATCCAAAGGACTCTGACAATGTTGTTCGGCACGTCAAGTTTGTAGTATCATTTGCGCACACTCCATACACTCTACCACACGCAAGATCGGTGTACGGACAAGCCATGCTTACGCTTTTTATGATGCCCATCATGATGACAGGAGGCGATTGACGACGTTCCACGCGGCACCTCTCAGCTGCCTGGCCCACCCTCGACAGCACCGTACGTACCCACCGTACCGGAGCCTGCGCCCGTGGTGGGCACAGGGGTGGCTTTGGCAGGGACGGACTGTCCACGTTTGGTGGCTGGACTTGACGGAGCGGCTTCGACAGCCCTCCAGGCGCTAGGCTCTGGATACTCGGAGAGCTACGATGTAACAGCAAAGCCACCACAACCGATCGAACATCGATCGGTTTTGCAGCCGAGGTGGGCAAATGCTGAAAAAACAACATGTTGTCTGCTTGCCCGGTTCCAGCTGCTTGCTGCAGGAAGCGAACACGGACAGCGGTTTAATGCTGCTGCGAGCCAGAGATAGCAGATATTAGAACGAGAGATATAGATGTACAAGGGCATGATCGTCAGTAACTTTCACAGCAAAATCGTATTCGGCTCAATCCTTCCTCGCCGTTTGTCCGCTCACCTCGCGACATGCCCTCGCCGATGGCCTCTCTCTGGCGTGACAATTGCAACCCAGATTCGGCTGTTACCCAGTCACATCAGCAAACCGTGCCCCTCCGGGCATGTCTGGGCGAGCGCCGCACCTTCCGTTGGGTAGTAGGATTCCCCGGGAACACAAAAACACCCTTGAGGAAGAAGTTCCAGTCTGGCGGGACTCTAGCAATGGCCCTCGGGCATCCCTATCACCACCTGGCCCGGTGTGGCGCGACTCGGACGAATTGTTGGAAGAACTGAGAGCCTCCAGCTCTCGTGCTCCATCCACGGTTTCTCGTAGGCGGGGGCATCGCGACAATCTGCGTCAACTGCCGCAAAAAAAGTTGACGAAAAATCGTCAGAAGAATGTGGGAGACAGCAGGCTTGGGAAGAGAGACGTTAACAGAAGGACAGGCACGACCACAGACCGCAAACAACGCGCGGCGGTGTGGAAAGATGTGGCCAGTGAGCCGCGAAGAGTTCTCTTTGGCCCAACGAGACTCTTAGACACTATGTTGGATGTCGAGGTATTACGAAGCAAGCCACCTAACCTTGCTGAGTTTCGAAAGCAACCCGAACTTTGGCCGTCCGGCGGCATGGTCGGCGCGACGTCCATTCCACCACCTCCTCCGCCCGAGAAAGTTCCACAGACAAACCAACATTGGCGGCACAACACTCAACCCCTGCTAGCGCGGAGAAGCACTCGTGAGGGGCGACGTGCACAGTCGCCGACGTTAGAGGGCAACCTGAGGCCGATCACTGTGAAGAGTACGGTAGGCCGCCCAGGGCTCATGTCGCGGAGTACAGAAAACATCAACAGCAACGGCCGTTTTCTATCAGCAACGACATCGTCATCATCCACTTCCTTCTTTTGGAAGTCCATTGCGTGTATCCCGGAGAATTCTCCACTTCCACGTGATCATCGGGCTTCTGCTGGTAGGCACCCACACCCACCTGGTTATTATGGCAACGCTAGAAGATGGCGGCGGCGACAGCGGGTCTCGGGAAAACGTCGCAGCACGGCAGTTGGTGATGACTTGTGGACAACACTCGTCCCGCCAAGGGCACCCGCGTTCGAGCCACGAGAATATTTTGTAGGCCACCACTGGCCAGGGCAGCAGCCCGCGCCACATGGTGTTGATACCAAGGGCGGCCAAGACAGTTACCAAAGCGTAGGAAGTACAAACCGGAACTAGCTCGGACCGAGCGTTTTCGGATACACACGCAGGAGGAGAGAAGCGATGGTATAGGAGGAGGAGGACGATCGCCCCTTGAACGAACGGATGGAGGAGCCCGGGTGGCACGATGGGCCCTATTCTAGAAATATCGGTCGGGACGCGGCGAGCGGATTGATCAGGAAGAGGCGAAGTAGCGACGAAATTTTGCTCACAGAGCCGGAGAGAACGGGTCGTCGTCTCTGTTCGTCGTCCAAAGAAAACGAAAGACTTGGGCTGGAATTGATTTCAGTTGACAGTGGGGACACGAAATCAGCCCCGACGCCGCTACAAAGGAGACGGTATTTGTAGTCGTGGGGAACGAGGCGTGTAAATTGTGCTGAGTGAATGAGGCTCACATTTCATTGAACTCTACTTGGCCAAGAGCCTGCCTTCGTTCATAATGTCACGTTGTCAAACTGCACGCGCCTTCTTTCGAGAGACTGGCGACAAAACTTGGTACATACACGTCAGTCGTCAACCGATAATTTGATCAACGAGGATATGCGAAAGCCTTGAAACAAAGGGTTACACAACCAGACGATGAAGGGAAACGCGACGCATCTTTCATGGAAGACCCAAACAATGCTCTGTACGCTGCACAACCGCTTTCCGCTACGCGACACTGGCCGTACCCATCGAAAGCTACACGTACTACTAGCTCGAGGTCAAATAGGGACATCGATCGCCACAATGCTCTGTACGCTGCACAACCGCTTTCCGCAACGCGACACTGGCCGTACCCATCGAAAGCTACACGTACTACTAGCTCGAGGTCAAATAGGGACATCGATCGCCACAATGCTCTGTACGCTGCACAACCGCTTTCCGCAACGCGACACTGGCCGTACCCATCGAAAGCTACACGTACTACTAGCTCGAGGTCAAAAAGGGACATCGATCGCCATGACAACGTTGATATCTGGTACGAAGTAAACGCATACCACCCCCCGACGTCCAAACTAACAAAAACGTTGACTGAGCTTAAAAGGTGTCTCGATCCATCCTTCTTCGGGCAATGCTTACCTCAGAAAACCACACGACCTGAGAAAACACAGCATCACCTTACAATGCACATGGGACAACGCGATCTGACCGCCGGGGAAAGCGGAGCATGGCCTCGACCACAACTAGAATACACGCAACTCACCCGAGTGCCAGCGACATGGTTTTCTCGACATACTCCGGTCCCTGGGCACATAGGGGCAGACCGCGCAACCCTGCTTGTCAACAAGAAGGGTACTTTGAATAAGTTGTTTTCGGGGGGGGGGCGATCAGGGAAAAACACAGCCACACAGCACGTGAAATAATTTGGATGGAAGAAAACAACGCTTGTCTGGCACAGCACCAACGACTGAAATGGTGGTTTACCAGAAGTGACCAGGAACGCTGAAAATTTGTCGTGGCTCCATACACTGACCACGACACGCTTTAAAAAAAAGTAATACGGAACACAACGCGTTGCTTTAAAAAACAGAGTAATGCAAGGAATACACGACAAACGGAGGGGGTAGAAAGAGGCGGGTAGGGAGAACAGCGAATCAAAGCAACTTCACCGCACACATCTATGGCTTCACCCCTGACAGCGACAGCAGTAGGAAATGTGAGAATTGAGCTCATCGGCCGGTGCCACACTAACTCGTATATGGAAGCCTGTGGCCAGTGGTGGGAAATACATACAGTTCTATCAAGTGTGTGACGTCATATCTTTGACCGGCCATAACTTCATCAATATTAAAAAAAAAAAATCGTTTTCGAAACAGTGATGTACATGATGATCCCCACAATAGTTGTTCGAGGACCAAACCGATTTGAGGCCTTTCTGAAAATTCGTGGTTTTCATATAGGATTTTCAGGGTTTTTTTTTGGGGGGGGATGGAATTTCAAATCTGGCATTTCAGCCACGACGGACTCCATGTACCGAAAAAAAAAATAGCGAGGTGTTTTAACGCGGGATATGCCCTGTTAAGAAGCGTAGAATACTCGATTTTTTTTTGAGCTCTCCTGACAGATATATGACGTGTTTCTGTAGGGGGGGTCGGGAAAGTCGATCCACTTCTTCGGCGTGAGGACGCCACCGTTAGCAGCGATTCTTCATTCTTCGTCCTCTTCGTGCTTAGATCGATCAGGACTCGCCACGCTTGAGCCGTGAACGTCACGCTTTGTGCCACGCTTGAAAAATGCAGTGTTTTTTGTTAAATACATACGTACGTATCCGGTTAAAACTACATACAACAACATATTCGCCTGATTGAGAGCGAAGTATCTGATTGAGAGCGAGAGCCAAAAAAATTGAAATTTCGGGTCCAGACGCCTCTTGCCATTTCTTGGCAAGTAGGGGACGGGCTATTCCAAGAAGCGGTGCAAATTGAAGGTCTCATCAGCAGCTTCGCGAGCAT